ACCTTCTTGGAAAGGACGCAGCTTTGGCTCGCCAGATAACAAAGCGAGCTGCTACAGTGCCCTGCTGGTGCAACTTGCCAGAGCTCCGTCGTGTACAGTGCCGGGGATCTCTTCCCCAGAAACGTCTCACTGCAGGACTCAGCTCTGCGAGTGCCGGAGGGGGCGCTGGGGGAAGCTTCTGGCCACGCGGCTGTTAGGCACTGTGGAAGCCTGGCCTTGCGCGTGCTGTAGAAGCCCGCCACGGCATGCAACAGAGCCGAGAGCAGACCCTTTTCCTTCTGTGGCACCTCTCCAGCGTGGTCTACTGACAGTTCATTTTCATCGAGCGGGCCGTGCATTTGCAGTTGAGAGGTAACTGGCACAAAGGGATCACAAAGACACAGGAGGAGATATATATATATATATATATTTTTTTTTTTTTTGGGGGGGGGCGGCGGTGCACTCTGGGTATATCCACTTTCTTGACTGTGATGTTGTTGTCTTAGTAGCTAAGTCCTGTCTGACTCTTTGGTGACCCCACAGACTGCATCCCATTAGGCTCCTCTGTCCATGGAATTCTCCAGCAAGAATACTGGAGTGGGTTGCCATTTCCTTCTTCAGAGGATCTTCCCGACCCAGGGGTCAAACCCGGGTCTCCTGCATTGGTAGGCAGATTCTTTACTGCTGAGCTACCAGGGAAGCCCCTTCACAGGCATAGACATACACTGAAACATCTAATTGTACACTTAAAATGTGTGCAGTTTATTATATGCCAATTATACTTCATTAAAGCTACTAGTCATGTATACAGTATTCCTGTACCTGTCTCCTAAGTGAACTGATCCTTTTATCTATTAGATGTTTAAGTGGAAGATGTCTGTCTACCTGTATGTAAATGTTACTTTCTCACACCAAGAGATGAAATTGCTGATCATTAAGGGTTCCTTGTTCTACAAAGAGTGGAATCCTCTAGAGGCTGTACCTATAGATCCACTCTGACTCCTGTTCAGGAGCCAGTTTTGACGGAGGAAACTCACCTCCACCTGCCTATCTAGGGGAACCAGGGATTAAATGTATGTGTGTATGTTAGTTGCTCAGTTGTGTCCGACTCTTTGCGACCCCATGGATTGAAGCCCACCAGGCTCCTCTGTCCATGGAATTCTCCGGGCAAGAATACTGGAGTGGGTAGCCATTCCCTTCTCCAGGGGATCTTCCCGACCTAGGGATCAAACCCGGGTCTCCCACATCACAAGGCAGAATTTTTACCATCTAAGCCTCGAGGGAAGCCCAGGGGTTAAATAGACTTCCCTGGGAAAAAATCCAGGGCCAGCCTTGATTGTGACTTGGTTCGAATGGGCATCAACTCTCCCACTGTGGTATACATCTCTTTCCCTCCCTTGTCACCCAGGTCTTGATTCCTGGTTTTACTGGATATCTTGACCTTCAGCTCCCTTCTCTCTGAGGAAAGCATCCAAGGCTGCAGCTGATTCAGTAGTTTTGATAATACATTGGGTTAGAGCTGCGTGTGCTGCCTCTGCAGTCTTAGACAGCTGACTGCTCCTCCTCTCACCCCCAGTCTCTTGTATGTTAAAGAGAAATTTGGCATTAACTTAACTGTACTTGGTGAATACTGTGTACAGGTTTTCTGTTAGTTATTAAGGCTACAACAGTGAACAATACATAGTCAGGATTCTAAGCCCTCATGATGTTTACATTTTAGTAGGAATTATAGAAAGTATAAGCAAAAATTTCTCTCAACACGCAATGTCTTTCATCAAGCCAGAATTATTATCAGCTTCTTGAAGGCAGGGACTTGGAAACAGTGTGCTACAGTGATACCATTTACATGTGTACCCATACACATATAGAACATTTACTGTGTTACATAATGACCTCTTGCTAGCTAAGTGCTTATTAGATAGCTGGATTATTTTTCCACTAGACCACTTTAATATGTCTAAAAGTAAATACAATTGTTTATGAAACCTGAAACTGTGGCCTAGAGTCTATACATTGCTTTTTCCCCTGCCCTGTCACACAGACATCACTAAGTAATCTCAAGCTAGTGGTTGGAGTGGCTGAGATAGGGTGGGAGTTGAGGCATGCATCAGTTAGTCACTGAATCAATAAACATGCTTTTGAGCCTGACTCTGTGCCCAGGGCCAGGATGGTTTTGTAGGATTTAATTTGTCCTTATGGACGTTAAATTGTAAAATGTTAAGACTAGTCAACAGAGACAATTTGGCTTGGGAACAATGGTACTGACCCCAGGTCAAAGGGAAGCCAGAAATGATCAGTGTGGGGGTCTCGGGGTCAAACAAATCTCTATGGAAAAAGCTGGACTTCATAGCATGTTCAGAAAATTGAAAAGCTGCATGAAAGGAGGAAGGGTGGGTGGATATTAGAGAATGAAAAAAGGGCATGAGGTAGAATGAGACGTGAGCCTATTAGAAGTGTCATGAAAATAATCATGTTTTTAAAAAATTTTTTTTTTATTAGTTGGAGGCTAATTACTTTACAATATTGTAGTGGGTTTTGTCATACATTGACATGAATCAGCCATGGATTTACATGTGTTCCCCATCCCTATCCCCCCTCCCACCTCCCTCTCCGCCTGATCCCTGAAACTTGTATTTGTATATTCCATAATGTACTGGTATCTGTGATTTTAGTAATATATTTAAAAGATGCATGATGTTTACTAGTTTCCAACTAGTTAAACAGTCAAAAACTTGTTTCTAAACTCTCTCCAAAGGCACAAGGTGAGTCTTTATTTTCTAATAATATGATTGCAGTAATTACATTTAATTAATTATTGACCTCAGAACACATAATGTACCATTCCATTTATTCTCTAATTTTATCCAGTAGATTTCTCATCCAACTCATATTCACCCTCCAATTACAGAGAACATGCAGACCTGGCCTCTTGTTTTCACTAAGCTGTCATTTTATAATGCTTTAGAAAAAAATTATATGCATAGACCTGGGAGAAAATAATGATATTTTAATAATGCAACATGGAAGCTGTGCACTCCTCAGACAATTTTGTACTGACTTCGACAGAGCAGAACTAATTCAATGCTTTCTGGGCACAGTACACTAGAGAGAATCTTTCAATGAACACTGCAATGAGATGACCCATATTTGTATTGCAAAATAAAGCATGAAACAGTTTTAAGTTCAAAATAGAAATATCCTTAGCAAATTAGGTACAAAATGTTCCCTAGGTACCGTAGAAGACATCCCAAATAACACTGCCAACTTTAGTGGGGGCAGTTACACATAATTTTCTAAGTCATTTACTAGCCCCTGAATAGACTGGATATCCTCTCCACACAGGACATACGTCTTCTGGATCCTGATTCCCTGGGTGATAGAAATCCATGTCCAGGCACTTCTCTCCTCAACCCCACCCAGCTCAGGCTGGAGGAAGGCCTTCCTCCAGACAGGTGGAGGGACCAGGAACAGAATGGCAAGCTTTTCAAAATGGATACATTGCCCTCATTTTTAAAAAGAAAAAAAAAAAAAAAAAGACTCTGGAACCATGCTATCTCTGTGAGGTCAACAGTAGGTATCTGACTGACTTTGGAGGAAAATGACTTCTTATTAGTTTTCGTCCTTCAGTTTCAAAACTCTTAAATCTTGCCATTTCCAATAACCCCAAGCCTCTGAAACCCCATTTTAAAATCTCCTGACCTCTAACCATCACCTCCTATTCTTCCAGCTTACTGATTCTAGTCTTCTTACTCCAGAAACTTCCTGAACTTACTGAGATCCATCATTACCAGAAATCACAATTTTGAGTCCTTCTAACCATCCTTCTCACACTCTCACTCTATACTTACAGTTTGGATTCTATGGTTCAGCTCTATAACTATTCCTTGAAAACACTCAAGTTTCTCACCACCTCCCTTTGATTCATTATACTTCACCTGTCAAAAATCCAACCTTGGAGTATGTGATAGACTGAATTGTGTTCCCCTCATACAAATTCATGCTTTGAAGTTCTGATCCCAATATGACTATATTGGAGACCGTGCTTATAAAGAGGTAATTAAGGATAAATGTGGTCATAAGGGCGGGGCCCTGAGCCCACAGATCAGTGTTTTTATAAGAAACATCAAAGCTCCCTACCTGTTACTCCTCTCTGTTGCTTTCTCTCTTTTTCTCTCAATCTGCCATGTGAAAACACAGTGAGAAGGCAGTTATTTGTAAGCCAGGAAGATTGTTCTCACCAGAAACTGACCATGCTGGCACCCTGACCTCTGACTTTCAGCTTCCAGCACTGTGAGAAGTAAATTTCTGTTGTTTAAGCCATTCAGTCTGTGGTTCTTTATAATGGCAGCCTAAACAGACTGATACAGTGTTAGGCGGGATAATGGCTCCTCAAAGATGTCTACAACCTAATTCCTGAAGGTGTGAATATGTTAGAGTGTATGGCAAAGTTGCAGATGGTATGAATGATGCTAATAGTGGAACTTGAGATGGAGGCTCATCCTGCATTATCTGGGTGGGCACACCGAGGCAGAGAGGGAGAAGCAAAGAGTTGGGAGCATGAGAAACCGACCAGCTGGATGTTGGCTTTAAAGATGGAAGGGAGCAGTGAGCCAAGGAATGTACTCTAGAAGCTGGAAAAGGCAAAGAAAATGGATTCTCCCCTGGAGTCTCCAGAAGGCATGCAGTCTTGTGGACATCTCAAATTTAGCCCAATGAGACCCATTTTTGACCCATTTTGATCCATTTTTGTACCTCAAGGAAAATAAGATAATAATTTTGCATTTTTTGTGGTATGTTGGAGCAGCAGTAGCAAAGTAATACCCACAGTTAAACCCAATGATCTACATACTGCTGGCCAGCACCCACAGAGCTGATCACTGGAACAATTACGCAACCTTGCTGACTGGCCTCCCTTCAAATATGATGACATATCAAATCGACCTCTTGATGTTTCCAGTCAATCTTAGCCCAGTCTCTTTTTCACAAATTCACTTTCTCCCTTCAAGGTGATTATCTCTCACCTTTGCTTTCCTCAGAGCTTGACACCGCCTTCCCTCAGTCGACTCTCAGCTGGTGCAGACCGCCTGACCCGCCTCTTGAGAGACCTGCGTGCAGGTCAGGAGGCAACGGTTAGTGTGGGACATGGAAACAGACTGCTTCCAAAGGGGAAAGGAGTACGTCAAGGCTGTATATTGTCACCCTGCTCATTTAACTCATATGCAGAGTACATCATGAAAAACGCTGGGCTGGAGGAAGCACAAGCTGGACTCAAGATTGCCGGGAGAAATATCAATAACCTCAGGTATGCAGATGACACCACCCTTATGGCAGAAAGAGAAGAGGAACTAAAAAGCCTTTTGATGAAAGTGAAAGTGGAGAGTGAAAAAGTTGGCTTAAAGCTCAACATTCAGAAAACTAAGATCATGGCATCTGGTCCCATCACTTCATGGGAAGTAGATGGGGAAACAGTGGAAACAGTGTCAGACTTTAATTTTTGGGCTCCAAAATCACTGCAGATGGTGATTGCAGCCATGAAATTAAAAGATGCTTACTCCTTGGAAGGAAAGTTATGACCAACCTAGATAGCATATTAAAAAACAGAGACATTACTTTGCCAACAAAAGTCCGTCTAGTCAAGGCTGTGGTTTCTCCGGTGGTCATGTATGGCTGTGAGAGTCAGACTATAAAGAAAGCTGAGTGCTGAAGAATTGATGCTTTTGAACTGTGGTGTTGGAGAAGACTCTTGAGAGTCCCTTGGACTGCAAGGAGATCCAACCAGTCCATCCTAAAGGAGATCAGTCCTGGGTGTTCATTGGAAGGACTGATGCTGAAGCTGAAACTCCAATACTTTGGCCACCTGATGCAAAGAGTTGACTCATTGGAAAAGACCCTGATTCTGGGAGGGATTGGGGGCAGGGGGAGAAGGGGACGACAGAGGATGAGATGACTGAATGCCATCACCAACTTGATCGGCATGAGTTTGAGTAAACTCCGGGAGTTGGTGATGGACAGGGAGGCCTGGCATGCTGCGATTCATGAGGTCGCAAAGAATCGGACACGACTGAGCGACTGAACTGAACTGAGTGCTTATTTCTTCATAGAAAACTGATTAAAGTTAGGGTAATACAGCATCTTGCCACCATTTCTCTAATCTGCTTTCATTGCTATTGCAACTCAATGCATGTGCATCCTGCCTTCCACATGTAGTGGATGAACTGTCTGTGAGCCAATCGAAAGCTAATCTCTTCTACTGAGCCCTAGATCCCTTCCCTCTTAACTTTTTCAGGGACCACCCTAATGGCAAGAGCATTAACTCAGCTCTGGAAAAACATGCAGAAGTCTTAACTGCACTTTTTTTCACTCACATGCTACTTCCAGATGTCCAAGTAATTTTTGTATGTCCTGAGTCCAGTGACTTCTCTCATTTCTACTGTTAAGGCTCAGTCCAGTTTCCCCTTCATCACTCACCTGGATGTAGGCTATAACATTCCTGTCTTCACTTTCTACTACTTATGGACTTAGGGATTGTTTTTGAAAGTGAAGCTTAGATTTAACTACTTCCTGACTTACTGTCTTCAAAAATCTTTCCACTTCAAAAGTAAAAATTCCAGGCCCTAATATAGGCTATAAAAATGTATATCATTGGACATGTCTACTTTTCCATCTCACTTTCTACAACTCCTCTTTCTGTTTACTTTAGTCATGCTGACCTTCTCCTCTCTTTTGTCTTCTGTTTCACAAAGTAAACCATCTGTTCTTACTTCACTTTTGCTTGACTTGATCTTCCTCCACTTAATTGATTGGATAACTGTCTTCTCCTTATTGATGCTTCAATTCAGATGTCACCTCTTTTAAGAAGCCTTCAATGGCCCTATCCAATCAAACCTAAGGTTGTTATGTTACATTGCTCATAAAAAGAAAAAAAACCTTTCTTTATAGCATGTATCAGTACCTAAACTCATTCATTCCATTATTCACTTATTGTCTGCATGGCTCCTTCAGAATACATGCAGGGCATATACTCTTTCAATGAAGTTTTATGACTAATTCTTACATACTAAATTCCACTACAGAGTCAACTTGGTGGAAGGAAGATTTGGGCAAGCCAACGTCTTTTTCATTGTCCTTGGAAGTAGTATGAAAATAGCATTCCTGGGACTTGAGATAGTTCTGGCCAAAGTTGGCATTATTAGTAAACAGTCCAGGCAGTGGCAGCACCCACCTTTATCCTGTTGATTCTGGGACTGGATTGATGACAATAACATGTATCTCAAATGAACAACTTATACCTGGGGGCACCTGTATTTTAATTTTTGTTCTACCACTGCAGTGATGAATGGTTTGGGGCTGTCTCTGCATTTTTTGCTTATGCATTAGGTTGACTTCTCAGATTAGAATGGAATAATCTTTTTTTTTTTTTAGAATGGAATAATCTTGATGGTAGAAACAATGTATAGTTCTTTAAATCACTACAGTACCAAGGACATAGCAGGTTCTCTATGAATAGTTTGACCCACTGATGGATTTTCTATGGAGTTAGAAATGTTACTTACCTTCCTGGGACTTTCCTTTTCTCCATGCCTAACAACAATGTCCACATTCTACCTTATCCATCATGCTGTTATGTTAGCCATGAGCAGAGGAATAATCATTCCCCTTTCTGATTTACAAAATAGAATGTTACTGAAGTTTCTTTGATGGTAATGGCATGAACTCTTGAAAGCTTTTCAGTAGAGGCTTAGCTGTTGAAGATCCAGTGAGACCATTCAAAGGCTTAACTGTTGAAGATGCAATGAAACTCCATAATAAATTGATCTCCTATATCATGGGCTACACAAACAGCAACGTTGTAAACTTTCAATGTATCATTTGGCATTATATAAAGTTACACGTTTTCTTACTTAGAAGATTGCTTTTTAAAAATCTGATTGTGTGAAGGTAATAAGTCTATTTTGTTGTGATACATGTGTTTTTCTGACTGGTACAATATTCGTGCTTTGATTTTTGCTTTTCTTGACTGAATCAATCATAGTATAATATATAAATTAGTGGTTAACGTTAAGGGGATGGCAAAAACTTTAGGGAGGAAGCTAAATTTAAAACTATAAGAGACAGTTCTTTTTGTTGCTGGTTTAAAACAATAGAAGTATTCAGTGTGTACAGAAAAAAATAAAATAAAATTCTATTAATTAGTTCTTTTGTTGTAATTTAGCCCTGCCCTAGGAAAATATATTCTTTTTGTGTTAAAAGATTATGTGAAAACAAAGATCATTCATTTATGCAGCCAATCATCTTTGCTATTACCTTGTAAGCTTTGTAAATGTGAGGATGGTGTCTATACAGTTCCATTTGTTGCTCCAGCTAGTCACAGTGCCTGTCTGAAAGTCAAACGCATAAATGCTGTGTATAATGTGAGATCTCAGAATTACCCATTGACAGGCTTCCCTGATGACTCAGGCAGTAAAGAATCTGCCTGCAATGTGGGAAACCTGGGTTTGAGTCCTGGGTTGCGAAGATCCCCTGGAGAAGGGAATGGCAACCCACGCCAGTATTCTTGCTGGAGAATCCCATGAACAGAGGAGCCTGGTGGGCTACAGCCCATGGGGTCACATAAAGAGTCAAATACGACTGAGCAACAAACATTTACACCAACTTGTTTAAGGATTCCATGCCTTCCTAAATATTTATTTCTCCCACACATGAAAAATACATGAAAATAACACATGAATATTAGAATGATAAAATGCATAATCATTTCCCTGAAGACAGTCACTTATAGACACATTCAAAACAAGGAATAATGGCATTTGCTTGAAGATGGGGATGAAGTATGTGCAATAAGTGTGTATAACATGAAACTGGCAATTGTAGAACCCCTCAGTTGAATCACACTATTCTCATAAAAAGCTTAACCAATTCACTATTAGCTGAGACTGGTTCTGCTGTTAAGAAAAGAATAACAACATCATGATAGCAAAGATAAAATGCTAACCTCTTATGGGACAGGAAAGTGAGGTAGAGACACCAGGAAGAATCCACTGACTCTAAAATCCTGTTCTTCCCCTTATAGCACAATCCTTCTGTAAATGCAAAAACCATAGTGGAACTGTTTTGATCTTTCCCCACATTATTTCAAAAGTTCAAAGAGATGCTCAATCAAATCAGATGTTGAACTATTCAAAGGTAGTTATCTCTCCTTTTTTACTTTGCTTGAAATTCTGTTTAGCCTTGAAGCAGGCTTCTGTGATCGAAGGTGGTAAATGATAGATAGAGTTCAACAGAGTTCTGTGGTGAAGGGTAAGTATTTTAGTGTATCTGTGACCTGATCCAAAGGCTATTTCTAGCAGTTTGTCATTTAGTACAGAGAAGGTTAGTGAGGTCATGTTGATATATGATCTTTTATGCTCTGAACTTATCACTGCAGTTGAACCAGCCCTACAATTCTCATTAACAATGAGCCACTATTTTTTGATACTAAAGAATAAAATAAAATAACTGCCTTATTTTATTCTCCAAACTAAAATATAAAGAAAACTCAAAGCTGAAAGTTTGAAGTATTTAATTGGAAAATTTAGGGCATCTTTATTTTTACCCACAGAAGTAAAAATAGCTTTAGTATTTTCAGAAGAAAACCAAATAGTGTCACATTGATGGAATTGCCAGTGAGAAGTGTCTGAACATTAACATCACCATGATAAATATTTAGTTCTAGCAGAGAATGAGATTACCTGAAAAAACATTCTAGCTTCCTAGCACACATTCCAAAAGGAATAGAATTCTCTAAAGAAAGAAAATGCCAAAGGTAGGAAAGCACTGTGGGATGGGAAAACAACAGCAGCCTAGGAATTAGGACATGAGTTCTAGTCTCTGATTTGCCCATGGATGAGCTAAATGATACGCAGCAAAGACCATAACCTCTCTTGGTTGTTTCTTGCTTGGATTTCACTGACAACATTTTTGAATGTTTCCAAGTCGGCTGACAGACCTACCAAGTTCCTTAACCCATCTGCACCACAGACCTTTCTGATTTGGTCAGATCCATCACTGGTTCCAACAGTATTAAGCACAAAGTTGAAATTTCTTAGCAAACTGTTCAGGTCTTTCA